TATTGTCGCGAGATCGACTCTTCTCTTTCGACTCACTCTGCCTCGCCTGACGTACGGTCCAAGCTACCGACCACCCACCTACCGCACAATCCAGATCGCGCTTGCCGCCCACATCATCGTGTATCCCAACGTGTTCTCGTCTCTAGCACTCATGTCGTCGTCTGTCGCCAGACAATTCGGCAACATGCTCAACACTCGGTGGTCGCTCCCAGGACAAGCAGCCACGCCGTCGCCATCCACCAAGCAAAAGACCGACTCCAAGCAGAAGGTCGACGCCATACACGAGACAGTCACCTACCCACGCATCTTAGGGCTACGGGAACAGAACTCCTGTCGCAATGCATCCATGTCCTACGAGCACCTCCTCGAATGCGGCCACCTCATCACCACACCGACGCCCGATGAGCGATGCGCACCCAATTGCTACTGTGTCGAGCACGGATGGCACGAGATCAACGGCGACGAGAAGAAGAAGGCGAAGATGCTGCTGTTCTACTGCGACGCGTGCGTAGAGGAGGTAAACGAGAAGCTCGTGGCTGGTACTTTGACGTCAGCGGCGGCAGGTATGTTCACTTACTGGCAGTAACACTCGCGACTACGCTGACCACTTGACAGAGAACCTGCGTCGCACCCTACGCGAAAAGGAAGCCGTCAAGCGCGAGAAGCAGACCAAGTTTCGCAAATGCTATATCGCACTCAAGATCACCTCCGTGCCTTGCCATACCGACGGCACACTACGCAAGAGCTATACGCCGCGCAAAGAGCATCATCCTTTCGATATTTCGATCCCTCGAGTAGGCGACAACTTCTTCGAAGACCTCCTGGTGAGCCCGGTGGAGAAAATGAAGGCGCCTGGCAACACTACCGCGACCGCGCCTGGAGAAGCAAACCACCCCGTCGTCGGTAGTAGCCCAGCCAACCTCGGCGAAGCCGGTGCAAACTACCTGCGATATACGGCAGCGCAATCTGCAGCACCCAAGGCCCTCAAAGCCAAGCCGAGCGCCTCCAACGCTAAAAAGACCGCGTCACTGTCTGCTCCCCGCAAGGCCGCTGCAGCATCACCGGTGGTACCAAGCTCCGATGTCGCACAGAAGATATCTCCAAAGCAGTCGCGCAAGAGCCCCATTGTCATCGACGACGATGAGGAATACGTGGACGCGCCGGAGAAAGAAGCAGAGGGCGTCAAGAGAACCAGGAAACGACAAAAGGCTACTTCGTTGCCGTTGCCACTGCCAGCTACCCCGAAGAGGAAGCCAGGGCGTCCTAAGGGAAGCGGTCGCAAGAAGGTGTGAGGGGTTGGCGGATACAGGCGGTACGAAATCGTGAGGATGTGGATGTGATGACGAGGTTGGAGATTCCAAGCACGGGGTGGATGCTGCTATGCGATGCCTGGATACTGTCGTATTTGCCAGGCTGGTATTCTGGTACGGGTATATATTGAATGGAACATGTCGTTGATGATGCTTCTGATGGAAAATGTGATGAAGAAGGGTCACGTCTGGTAATCGTGTGCGATGTTGCTTTCACCCCACTTCGTCTGCTGACTAATCTGCATCCTGCCATCTCGCCACCCGTCCTCTGTACAACGTACCAAATGCACGATTGAAGTGTACAGCATATTTTATTTTGACACTTATTAACGCGAGTTGAACTATCTATCTGCATGCTCTAGTACATCTAGTTCTAAACCATCATACACCAAGTTCCCCATGTCGCCATCTCAAATCCCCCCCTTCTTTATTCAACAACCACTCACAATACGCTAGATAGATACACTCCAGACAGTACACAGCATACAACGCCTGAGACCAAGATTACTGCAATCTCTATGTTCGACATTTCGTCTACGCTGTGAACTCTGATATCCTGTCGCCTATCATCTCTTTCTGAAGGGAGACCGCGTTCTAGATCAATTGTAGTGCGCTCTTGCTGGTCGTATGTGTTAGGGCGGATGAATAAGTCGGGCATGGCGTTGGTGTCGGTTGTTGTTTCGCGAGCAACTGTCGAATGGTTGGTTGATTTCGCTGTTGCGTACTGTTATTTGGAGCTCGTAATGTTATGGGTGACATAGTGGATATGGTGAATAAGTGACACGATTCTATAGAGCGGCCGGGCGCTTTGTCAGTGAATGAGCAATGCACTTGTTCGCTGAAACATGGAGTGAATGGAAGGCGTGTGGCGCTGCGAGCCACTTCTGTAGTATTTGATCGGATGGACTTGGGAAACACGCCGCTCCCGCCCCATACCGCGATCTCCAGTCCCCTCACCCACCAACCATTCACAACACACCAGTACCATAAAGTATAGACAACGCAAAACACACACCGCTCACAACTAGAAGTACTGCGATGGTCATGTTCACCCATTCACCCTGCCTGTACATCACAGTATACCGACGTCCACGTCCATCATTTCCGTGCGGGGAGCGACCGCGTTCTAGATCAGGCATGGCGGGCTCTGGCTGGTCGTGCGGATTGGGGTTGGGGTTGATGAATAAGCTGGCGAGTAGGTGGTTAGCGGCTAAGGAGTTGGGAGTAGCTGTTGAAGGGACGGTTGAAGGAGGGGTAGAGGTGTTATTGTTTGGGGTAAGTGTTGAGGGGGTTGATGGAGTGCTTGTAGAGGTACTGTTGTCTGGGGTTCGTAGGATTATGGGTGGCATCGCTGTTACTGTGGGTCTGAGTGTAGTGGATCTGAGCGAGGTAAGTGTAAGAATAGTCCCGGCGCTCTATAAGTGAATGTGCAATGGACTCGTTTGCTGCCTGGGTGGATGATGGATGGAAGAAATATGGTTCTGTGAGTTCCTTCTAGACTGCATGATCGAAAGGGCCTGTGTGTTCTACAATACTTCGTTTCCTGGAGGTGAGACAAAATCCTTACGTGTCATTGCGTTATTAGCTATGGGAATGGCTCCGCTGGCTCTAGTGGTCATTTCTCGCGACCTTCAGCATTCTCCGTCGAACATCAGCAGAATTGAGGGACTGACGATATGCTTCTGTAGATAACTGCATAGCTCTCACCATGAATCATTCCTCAGCGCCAGACTCTTCGATGTCGTCCACATATGGTCGAGTCGCAGCGGCGAAGGCCCCCTAAGCAGCATGTACCACTTTAGATCTTTTGACGGAACGTAGGGTATGTTTTCCAAAGCCGATGAGTCGCGGACGTACTGAGAATATTCCCGGACAGTCGCTGCAGCCTCCATCTCACTACCGACGATCCAGACCTTGTCAAACCCACCTATAATCGTATTTGCAACGACGATAAGACCGCCCACTTCGATTGACAGGAGGCGATTCTCCAAGGGTTCTGTAAAGTCATCCAATGAATTCTCAAGAAAGACAACATTCTCTAACCGAAGTCTGATTGATAGTCGAAGTAACTTCTGGACTGCGATCCGGTTCAACTTCACATTGATGAGGCGCAAAGTGTCGAGACTGGCGGTCCAGATCGGACAAAGAAGCTGAGACGATCCCGACACTAGCCCTATCTGAGGCGTGGACATGTGGAGCGCGTTGTTCTCTGCGAGCGATCTTCCTGAAAAGATCAGATGCCGTAGATTTGGACAGCGCAAGGTGTTGGGCATGATGAAAGTATCGTTGGCCAGTCTCATCTTCAACGAGTCGCTGCTATACGCATCAGACTTGTCGCCACTGTCAAATGTGTATTCCAGTGTAGTGAGATGAGAGAGTACCATGTCTCCGGTCGGAGAACCAACGAAGCCAAGTGTGTTGAAGTTGATGGAGGCGTTCCAAAGTCGCTGGCCTTGGCGGTGATCTATGTGTCTAAGCAACGCGTAGAAGATGTTCATGGAGTGTCTGCTTTGAGATTTCGCGCAGGTGTACCGTAGCGGATAATTGTGAGCGAGGCTGAATGAAGGGAGAACAATGTTGCCTGTATTAATTCCGTACAGCTCTTGATAGGGGGCCTGATCCGTGAGACGCAAGTTGTTAGTCTCCCTGAGTGGTGTATGCTTCGTGTACGCTCTATCCACGGAAAGTGGAAGCATGCTGCGGGTTGGCCGATAGCAAACTGTTTCCAAGTTGATGAACTTGTCCATCCAACCTACGCTGTTATCTTCCAACCATGTAGACCAAAGATAGGGATCCGCCATCCGGTTGTGTTGACAAGGGCGGTGGAACTCGCGGTCACGATAGCTTAGGCCTGCCCTCTCGGATTCTGCAACCTCCAGTCGTCGTGGCGCCGCATCTTTGTACACTATAGCACTCACGAGTTTCGCTCGAGCAGGATCGTCAGCGATGCCTTTGAGTATGGCGATGCTCTTTAGATCTGGCGCAAAGCACACAGTGCGATAGAGATGTTTCTGGAACCCCGGTATGTTGCAGGCCTTGGAGGTCAAGAGGAAGCTGATGACATCGTGGGAACTCTCGTTGTTATCACAAATTACGTACTCTAGCATGGCATCGATAAGCTCGTTCGGAAACGGCAGCCCACTGCGCAGTGGAGTTGCCGGTGAGCAGTTCTCGTCGTGAAGTCGCAGACGACATGGCTGATCGATGACGCGAGTTTGGCTATCGGCCGGCGTGATTGGCCACGGTACCATCCGATCCATATCAGCTATGAGTCGAAGGGGTGTTGAGAGTCTAGGTCAGCATGAGCGACTGATACAGATATATACAGATGCCCGTGTCGCGTGTCGCATGGACCACACCAAACAAACGAACAGCATCACGTGTCGCTAAGCCGTTGTTGCAGCCCTTGTGAGCACTGACAAACCATGAGAAGGTTTACAATACCAGAGCCGCAAAGTTTGCGTCTCTTTTCGGCATTCTTGCTTACACTGAGATACAAAGCGTGCTTTCCTGAGTGTGACGTATGCATACTCCGCACGCGTAGCGACATGGATGTGGCTTGACTGTGGGGCCTTCGCAACTGGATAAAGTACGCTTAGAGCGCGTACACGCAGCCCCGTCGGCTGGCAATTCGTGAGCCATGAGCATAGCGCTGTATCGCAGTGTTAATCGTTGATCAACTGCCCTGATATGTCGACGCGCACGACCGACTGTGAGCTTCGTGCCGCAAAATTCTCAGATCTTGCTTCGATAGCGACGGTATGGGCAGCGGCATTCTTTGATGATGAGATCATCGGCGAGCTCATGCATCCCCACCGCAAGGAATACCCGGACGACGTATACTGGTTCTTGCTGCGAGGTATTCGACAACGGTTTTGGGACTGGCGACATCGTTTCATAGTTGTGATAGACGATGGAAAGGTCGTTGGTGCTGCAGATTGGAGAAGGCTAGGAAGAGGGGGAGAGAAGTTGGAGTTGGGGCGAACAGATCCACGTACGCCTTCCATCGCGACACTCACTATAGCGTGTGAGCGCGTCTTTTGGCTTACTCTACCTCCGCAGGTAACCTCATCGCGCCACTTGTGAAGGCATACCACTCCACGTCTTTAGTGCTCTTCCCCAATCGCGCGGCTGATCCCACGCGCACTTCCTTCCTCGACACAGCTGTCGCGAACTCTGGAAAGTACTGGACTGGCCATCGCACCGAATGCTGGGACTTGCACGTCTGTGGTGTACACCCAGACTACCAAGGTAAAGGTGTTGGAAAGCTGTTAGCCACGTGGGGTGTACGCGAAGCGCAGAAGGAGGGCGACGAGGTTGTTGCTAGTGTATTGTGCGGAGAGAAGAATAGAGGATTCTATGCGAAGGCTGGCATGGCTGTTCAGGTTTCGGAATCGAAGGGCGATGGAGGCGGCATCGCGTTGTTCACGAGATAGTTCGCGCGGGCGACGCGTTTCAGCCAATCAGTGTTGCCGGAGTTGTGCCGGCGGTATCGCGTCTCCCTCCGATGACGCGTCTGCGACTACCATCTCTTCCTACCCATCACGTAGTGCTTTCCGTCATCACATTCATCTCTTGCCCATCGTTAATCGTTCCTTGTGAATCGATGAAATAGCACGCAGTACCGCAATGAAGATGAGAAGGAATGACCGAAAATGCCGACCGCGCGGACCGAGCGTGACTGTCTGGTAGCAACACATAGCTGCTGCTACCCGCCGTATTGGATGACTTTCAAACAATGAACCCTTCTCCTCCATCAATCACTCTTATTCCAGGATACACAATATGAGTTTCGCTATTACATTCGCTGCGGGTGTCGTGCTCCACGCTACTGTCTTGGCCAGGCATCGCGAATGGGACCGCCATTCAGCCGCCATCTTATCCTCAGCATGTGTCCTCTTCGCAGCTACAGTCGTAGCAGTTGCTGTTATTCGGAAAGTTTCCTGGGTCTCTTCTTTCGCTTGCGTGGGCGATGTGACCACGGACTTCGTCAGCGGCCTTCTCAGTTCTATGATAGTGTATCGACGATGGCTACACCCTCTCAGATCCTTTCCAGGGCCTATAACTGCACGGAACACTAGCCTATGGATCATCAAGCAAAGCGTCCCTGATCTCGACTTATACGTCAAGATGCGCAGCTTGCATGATCGATATGGCGACTTTGTGCGAATAAGTAGGTTTGGAGAGCATTTAGACGAGTGCGTCGTTGACCTGGTCTAGGGCCACGCGAGATCTCGATCTGCCATCCTGATGCGATAGCGGACGTACACGGACCGAGGAGCAAGATCCTGAAAGGCGAATTCTACGATCAGACCCATCCATTTCATAGCCTCCAATTCATCCGCGATCCGAACCTCCATAAGGAACAGCGTCGGTACTGGGACAGAGCTTTCCATAGTCCAGGTCAGTGATCGTCGTTTTTGTTTGCTGCTAAGCAGTCAGAGTCGAGCATACACCTCCGTCTGTCCTGCCAATTCCAGTTTTATAGGATCAACGTCGCCAGCTAGCATGATGGAATGTTGGACTATCACAGCTAACAGCTGTAGCACTACGGGGATATGTGCCACGACTCATAAGACACTATCGAATCACTGTCAGTATATTTGCGAGTCATGCAGCATCACGAAACCCGATCGACGCCAGCAGTGCCTTCTTAGACCTATTCTTTGATGTCATATCGGACTTGACATTTGGTCAGTCCTTCAATACACAGAGCACGAAGCAACGAAGTCCGATCGTGACAGAGTTCCTCAGCAAGCAGAAAATACTCGGCTTCGCCTTGCTGAACATGCCTCTGCTCCACCTCGCTAAAAACCTGCACATGTCCACGAGGAAGCAGAAGCCCTGGGAACGTTGGTATGATGAAGCATTGAAGGCCCGCAGTAAGGTAAGTCAGCCAAGCTCCGATTGACTCATAATGTTGATGCTCATGTGCGAAGAAAACCGTCTCGATGTCGGACATATACACATACTTGCCGCAATCTGCAGACTCCAACGGCAACACTCTTAGAGAGGCCAAGTTGGCTATCGTTGCTGGCGCTGATACAAACGCCATCACAATGTCGATCATTTGCTATCTACTGTGCCGCCATCCTGGGTACCAGGCGAAGCTCCACTATGAGTTGTCAGACTTACGTTCTCTTTTCCCTAACGACGATGATCTGATGAACAAACCTTGCTTGGCCGGCATCATCAACGAAGCGTTGAGATTGCATCCGCCCGTCCCCTGCGGTCTTCAGCGTGTAACACCCGCAGAGGGCGCAGTCGTCGCCGGCCGACACATACCGGGCCACATGAATGTCACAACACCGACGTACGCACTGCATCGAGGTATTGCTATCTTTCCCGATTGTTGCAGCTTGAGCTGACCTTTCAGATTCCCGCGCGTTCGTTCAACCGAATGAGTTCATACCCGAACGCTGGTTCTCCCGCCCCGACCTCATCCTTCGTAAAGACGCATTTGTGCCATTTGGCTACGGCGTGTACAATTGTGCGGGTAAGCCCTTGGCTATGTTACAATTACGCATGGTCCTTGCCATGATCTCCCGACGGTTCACTATGACATTTGCTCCTGGCCAGGAAGCTCTATGCCAGTACTTCATCGATCATCAAGCCGACTGCTTCACGCTCCACCTTGAGCCCCTTCCTTTGCTGTTCGAACGAAGAGGCGTGTGAGTAATATCAAGCTGGATCTTGCATCGCCATGTGGCTAGCATATGACCGCATGCTATACTGGCGAAGATGAAACATTGCTACTACAACTTTCTGATAGGTCTGCAACAGCCTTCCTTGTTCTCCATAGTTGCAAGCATTCACATGGATATTCACGAGCTCTCAAAACTGTGAGTGAAATGCGACTTGAGCGGCAAGAGAAGCAGTCACTCAAATGACCCTGAATGACCAGTTGTGCTCCCTTATGGTTCGCTTCCAACCCACACTCCGTTCGCTACCACTGAATTACAGCAGCCCTTTTCCCTCCCGCTTTGACCTCAGCCCAAGTAGCCGGCATTATGGGCTTCATGAAGCAAGGCAGCCAACGCCCCCTCGGTAGGCGCCGCACTCTGCACGACTTGCGAAGGGCAGCGCGCAGCCCCAAGCAACCTGAGAATTCCGACCAGACCCTAGTGCAAGCAACAGACGCCCCGCAGGCTCAAGATAACACGTCACAGTTGAAGAAACGCGCAAGCACCTTCGGCATCAAAAATGCGCTCACCAAATTACGCATCATCAAAACCAGCGCAGCCCCCATGCCGCCAATCTGGACCCAGTATGAGCTCGTCAAACGTATAGGCTCCGGTGGAAACGGCCTCGTAGATCTCTGCTTCGACACCTCAGCCGGCATCCTCGTCGCCGTAAAGACGCTGACCCTCCCTAACCCCGCCGCACCTCTACCAGAAGCCACGATTCTGCAAAACCTAGGCCGCCACGGCAACATCATCCGATACTATAACAGCGTCCTGAGTCCACCGCATCCTTCTCGCCTCCAATTGATTTTCGAATACTGTCCCAGAGGCGATCTACTGGATTACCTGGATACCTTGGACGGCCCCATCCCCGAACTATTCCTCTGGCATGTATTCAAGCATGTCGCATGTGGTCTTGCTTTCCTGCACAGCCGCCGCGTCATACATGGCGATATCAAACCCGCCAACATCCTCCTCACCGCGGCGCGAGAAGGCGAGCGTTTCTCCCTACCCAAGATCGCAGACTTCGGCGCTGCGTCCTGTAACCCCTTGCCAGAAATCCCACGAGGACACATAGGTACACCGTCCTTCCAACCCCCCGAAGCCGACCTTCGCCACGGCCCCGAATCCGATATCTGGTCCTTGGGAAGCATGATTCACGAACTGATACTGGGCCGTGTACCTATGCGGAAAGTGCGGGAGCTGGAGACTGATGCCGAGACGTGGTTTGGGGGGAGTGGACGGGAGATACCGGATGGTGTTGTTGCGCGTGGTCTGTATAAGGAGTTTTGTTACTACCAAGCTAGCCACGTTGTTGAACGCACACGCATCGATTGTCCGTCGGAGTATACGACGAAAGTATACAGCACACTGCTGAACCACTTCATGATGCGCGCTCTTGACCTCGACTGGGAGAAACGCATCACGGCTAGCCAACTGTGGGACTTGTTGCCTAAGCTCGAAGCTATTGTGCAGGATCTCCACATACTGGGCAAGCCTGAACTGCTCGATAGCCTCGAGGAACGAGAGGACGTGAATGGTCGAGAGGTCGCATGCGTCACCGACTCCCAGATGCTCCGGCAACTCTTTGAGAGATTGGCACGGTGTGCGGATTGGGCGAGTCATCAGGAGATGCGGAGGAGAGGGATGCAGTTGTTGTTTCTTATGGAGGAAGAGGATCATTTTGCGGTTTTTAGGGCGTTGAGGGATGTGAGGGGCTTTTGGGGGATGGAGTGGTGATTTGGGATGGATGGGTGGCAGAAGGAGATGCGGGTGTATGCAAGCGCGGTTTGGACTCAAGCTACGAAGTCAGACTGCTGAGGGTGTACTGGGTCCAAAAGGCCAACCCGCAGATCGTGATATCACTATCAATGGGCATGACTATCAAATTGACAACATCCGTTCTCAAATCATCATGCCGCGGTGTCGCAACTCAAAATGCCGTGGACAAGAATGCCAATGCAGCGGATATTGGTACCGGATTTTGGCTCACCCGAGTTCAAGCAATGGTGGAGTGGGTGTGGCAGAAGAGGAGGTATGATGTTTTGGTGGAAGCTTCGAGTAGAGGGGCGTTTTCCAAGGCAGAATTTATGCTGGATACTACGGAAGAGACGGTCAGTCGGTGAGTTCTAGTGGTAAAGAGGGATGTCGGTCGATAGTACTAAATCGTTGTTCCGTTATCCTCATTCAAAGTTCGTCGCCGGGTATCTACATTCTCTCCTCTTAGCCACAGACCATACCGTCCCTCGGCTCCTCAACAACCTCCTCCTTCTCCCCATCCGCCTTCCCATCCCCACCCTCCACTCCTACTACCTTCTCCTCAACCCTCCCCCCAGGCACCAACCCCACACTCTTAACCTCCTCATCCCCCTTCTTCACGGCCTTCTCCGCCCTCTCCTTCTCCTCCTCCAACCTCTTCCTCTCCTTCTTACTAACAGTCATACTCCCCTTCTCCAACGCCTCTTTTGGCAGTGGCCTGACATACGGCTGACACACCCAATACGGTCTTTTGACACGCGCGACGGTCGCGAGGGAGGATTCGTAGGGGTCTAGTTCCTCCCCCTCTTCTTTTGCACCATTTGCCTCTTCTTTCACCGTTGTTGTTGTTGTTGTTGTTGTTGTTGTTGTTGTTGTTGTGGAGGTCGGTTTGGTGGAATCATTAGCGTTTTCTTCTTCGTACTTCATAATCCCCTCTTTTACAGCCTTCTCAACCAAATTCAGTACGTTCTCAAACGCCTCAATATCGCCCGTCCGTGACCGCGCAAGCGCGTCTCGCACATTATGATGTTTCGAAACCAGCGGACGCAACAGATGAAACAGATGGGCTTGCATAGCCGTGAGATTGGGGTTGCTAGCCTCCTTCTTTTTCGCAGCTTTAGACAAGGGTTTTTGTTTCTTCTTTGGCTGACTATCCTCGTGATCACCTGCTCTTTTGCCGTTTTCTGCTGCGTTCGTGTTTGTGTTGGAATGGGAATGGGCTGTTTCTTGCGATTGTTTTGATGGGTCTTCGACGTCGGGATCGCCGGGCATCCAGAGCGGTTTCCGTTGTGGCGGGTCTTGACCGAGGGCGTATTTGTGGATGATGTCCATATACCGTCTCATGACTGCGTCCATCCTGTACCCACCCTTCCCGTCGCGTCCGCGCCAGTATTCGCGTCCTTCCTGGCCGGGTGGCGGTGGTGCAGCGAAGATAGTAGGGTCGTAAAGGTTTCCTTCTGCGCTCATGACGCCGTCTGCGCCTGTGGCTTCCAGACACGCGGCGATGTCTTCGTGTTGGAGGATGTTGCCGTTGGCGAAGATAACAGTCTCCTTAGGAAGGTTCTCCCGTAGATGCCGAATCATCTTCCAGTCTGCGAGGCCGGTGTTGTGGCCTTTTTGTTCTCGGCGTCGGCCGTGCACTGTGATGATGCTTGCGCCTGCATCTAGCAGTGTCTTTGCGTATGCGAGGGTTTTCTCTGGTGTTTCGAGGACACGCATCTTCGCTGTGACTGGGACGTCTAGCTCATCGTGTAGTTTGCGTATCATCCTCGATATCAGATCCCAGTCTTCCTGCAGGAATGCGCCATATTTTCCCCTTTTCGCGATTCCTTGTGGACAACCCAGATTCAGATCTACCGCGTCGCAAAAGGGCGCAACGTGTTTCGCCGCGCGCAGGAAGTCCTCGGGGTCGTTTGAGCAGAATTGTACGGTAAGCGGTCGGTCGAACGCAGGGTTGCCGTCGAGATGTCTTTCCGAGTCGGGTAGTTGTGAGAGGTGGTATTCGTCGCTGGGTGAAGGGATAGTCGATTTGAGGGGTTGGAAGTGGGCGTCGCGGTAGTTGCTCTTCTCGCCGAACATCTTCGAGTGGAACATTGGGGTGTATGCTAGGAGGTCTTTCTGCTGAGATTTGGGGAGGAACGAGCGCGAGAGTAGTCGCCATGCCTATAGAAAATGATGTTAGCTATCATCTTTGCGTAGAGTCGTATAGAGACGAAGAGACATACGAACTCTGACTGTTCGACCATGGGCGCAAGTATCAGCTTTGGGCTGCCGATACTCTCATAGAATGCGCGCCCATGTAATTTCCTCCTCTTCCCGTTGGCCTGCAACACCCCATTACTGCTTCCATTTCCATCACCATGATTGTGCAATGTCCCCGCCACCTCCCCATGCCCCTGCACCGCTGTCTGAGCCATAGTCGCCATCTGCGCAAAGTTTCGATTCGGAAATCCTCTTGCTAACCTGGGGGCGACGGCGCCCCCAAACACTTGGAGAAGAGAAGAACGTATGGCGACGGACGTCGAACGAAGTGGTGTTGAGCGCAGCGAGATCTTGTCAGTCGGCGAGTGTAGCGAGCGTAGCGAGCCCTGGAGTGCAGTGCGACCGTAAATCCCAGCAGAGTTCGAGTAAGACTAGGTCAAGCGCATAACCAAGGTACAAACAAAGCAGTCTCGCGTATCTCACCAGACCCCTCGATGACTCGTGCAGTAAACGTCAGGGTCGTCGTGCTCGTTCAGCAAAAAAACGCCATCAGCACTCCACCGCCTCTGACCAATCGGAGTGCGGGGTATCTCCGTATGGTGCCTTTGTGCGAACGAAGCACCAGGAGGAGTTGTGGACTGCGTTTGTGATGTAGAACCTCGATGCTCTCTTTCTTATTCATGTATTATTGTTCTTGTCTTTCTGTTTTCCTGTCTGTGTTTGGGGTTCTTGATGCGGGGGTAGGAAGGTTGGTGGAGATGTTTCTACGACTCCATCCATGCTCGGAACATTGCAAGGGAGATGCCAACATATAACACATATGCAAACTTCGTCTATAGTTCTCAACTACTGGGTTCAGTGCCAAACAGTTCCAATGCTGTGGTACATTACCCACAAGCGGCATCCACATGCATCAAACACATCCCTTAGCCTCGCCCGACCAAACCCTGACCGACATCACGCCATCAGGGTACCACATCACAACATGCGAGTCACGCCAGCTACATATACATGCGCATGCCCACCACCTCGCTGATACACACGCACGCACGGGAGTAGAGGGGAAAACCCTCCCGCCTTATCTTCTCCCATATATCAACACATCCAGCACATCACCAACACACCTCAACACTCAAGAATTCAGGATATACCAATGTAATTTCATCTCATCTCAACAACCTACAACCACCACACCATCTTCCTCGTATACCATACCACATGATAAAACACACAACAACCCAGCCGAATGAACAATCAGCCATCCATCTGCCCAAAAGACCTCCAGATCATCACGGTACGCGGTGATATGAGACGGACGCACGGCTTCCTGAAATGATTACGTGCGTCCGTCGCACATCACCACGTAGCGCCATGATCTGGAGCTGGATGTTCCATCGAAAAGAAAGACCATGTCCAACAATCATTATTCTGGATATCTTCGTCGGCCGTAAAACGCTGTAACATCTTGTCATCTCCACAAAGGGAGATCCAGACAGAGAGAGAGAGACAAAGGAAGTCTCTAAAGTTGTCGAAGGAAAACGCTGAATCGCAAGGACAAGAGACAAAACACACACAGACCACCCCCGCGTTTGATCAAGACGCCATGTTGGAGAAGCAAAGAGAGGACGCCGGTATTATGCAGTTTAGTTGATGCAGATGCAGAAAGGCTTCGTGTCGTCGAAGCAGTGAAAAGGTGGAATGGGACCAGTGCCGTTAAAGACAATACTGGGCCCTCCGGATATCATCAAAAGAGAGTACGCCAGGAGCAGGAAGTCCGTCCGTCCGTCCAGGTGTCATGAAGATATGAAGGAAGTTATAGGCGGCGATGACAAGCAAACGCCCAAGTTTAGAAAGTGCTCCAGTTCCATGTGCCCTGGAAGCTCTGTGCGAGGCTGCCTACGCGCGTGTTCTCAGGACGCTTAGCCGGAGCAGGAGTCTCAATGGACTTTGCAGGAGCGGGGCTGCTATTGCTGCTGTCGGAGCTCTCGCTGTTGGTGCGGCTGGAGCGGAGGTGCTCCCACTCGCGGAAGGAGCTGTGGCAGCGATCACAGGCACGGTGCCAGTGGCCTTCAGGGTGGAAGCGGGCGAGCTCGTCGAGACGCACGTTGTTGCGCGAGTGCTGCCAGCAGAAGATGCCGCCGCACTTGCGGCAGTGGTGGCGCCGCTGGAAGAAGCCAAAGGGCTCCTGGCAGCTGGATGCCGAGCACACCGATGTGGAACCGTCGGCCTAGGGATGAGTTAGTGGGGATTCTGGACGCAACGGCAACTCTGTATTGTGGACAAGTGGACAGGTGTCGCTAGCCCGAACAGCCCGGACTCCAGCCCTGCATCGGGTAAAAGGGTAGGTAATGGTCTAGCGTGGGGGACGACGTGTGCATGTCTCGACAGCCGGCAGACGATGGAAATTATCCGAAGGCCATGGCAAGGCGACATGCACAACATGATCGACCTTGGCCGCCGAGTTTGCCCCCCCAGGCGTCTTGTTGAGCTGAATTGGAGGGCTCGGCATGTCGGCTCTGCAGACAGCGGGAGGCCAGACCAGCGCACGCTAGGCGGTGGGACCGGACCATGTACGTAAGACGGTCCCCTCGCAGCCCAGGTGAGCACGCGACAGGGAAGCACGGACGGGCTAGCAGCGGCATAGCGGACAAGTAGGAAAGGCGCGAATACATACCTGCCAGTGGTTGCGTGTGATTGGCCCCGCGACGGGCGACAGTGGTTCGGCGTTGTAGAGGCTCTGCATGTCTTCATTGCCAATCTGCGAGACGGGCGTCGCGCTGCCCTCGTTGGCGACCCACCCGTACGTGCCAGCCGACCAGCCCTGGTTCGGGGACGACACGCCCGAGTCGACCTTGGGCGGCGACTTGCTGCTGGGCTTCTCCGTCTTGCGCAGCGCCGCGGGGATGCCGATGGCGGTGCGCGGCTGGTAGATGCCCTGGTGGCGGGCGAGGGGCAGGTGTGTGGTGCGCGGCGACGTGGGCGAGACGTTGGCGGGCGTGTTGACGCCGGAGTGGGTGGGCGAGTACTGCGAGTGGGTGCTCTTGCGGTAGGCGTGGTGCTGGTAGGGTGCGTGTTGCGGGATCGCAGTCGCCGTTGAGAAGGTCGTGGCCATGGTGACGGGAGGAGTTGAGGTTGGCGATGACGGAATGAGGTTGAGGTTGGCGAGAAGTCGCGAGAGACGTATAATACGTAGTCGTAGGCGGTGAAGTGCTGCGCTGGTATTGGTGCGCTGGAGTGTATGATACAGCGCTTTGGGAGCGGGAGGCTATCAGTGGCTCTGCAGTGGTGCGACGGGTGCAGACGACGCTGACAGGCCAGCAGGACGCGTGCGGCTCCTTGGGGACGGTTGGGGACGTGTTGGTGGTGAGGGTGCGTGTCAATTGGTAGCTGACGTGCAGGCGATAAGAGACGAGGGCGGTGATACAACAGACGCCGGGGCCAACAGTCGACCGTGGTTTAGCAGGACATGATAGTGAATATAGTCGTGGTCGTGGTAGTCGTCGTATATGTGATATGCGTCGAGTGAGGCGGATATAGGTGTAGATAAGAAACAGCGGTGTCGCGTGAGTGCGGAGGAGACCTGGGGTGAGGCTCTGGGGACAGGATGAATTAAGTTGTCGCCAGCCAGCTGCTCCAGCGACCTCTTCCCAGCAGCGAACTGACGGATGGGCGGCCATGCCCGATGGGGGATGCCTGCACCCTTGGCGACCGACCGAACGACAGGGTATCATCGGGCTACGTCCGGCCATTTGGAAGATTCTAATTGTAACATGGCCGTCGCATCGAGCTCGCTGTCTTCACGCTGCCCTCCCACTCTGCTTGGAAAGACTCGACAAGTACGAGTCCTAGGCTGAGAATAGGCTCTATCTCCTACGCGAACGCCCCATTTCCCCCTTCCCCAGCGCAACCCTCATTCCTTCACCACGACCGTTGCGCCTCTCCTCGAGGCGGCCAGCCGTTGGGCCCCACTGTGCCCGTTTGGGCGTCCCTTATCTCTAACCAATCACGCCCTCTGCAAAAGAAAAGCAACGCCTCAACCTTCTCCGAGGACGGAACTGCTGCGTCAAGCGTGAACTCATTTCCTGGGGCGCCCGTACAGTGATGACATAGCACTCACCCCATATCTTGATTGCGACACCCTGCGCAAACGCAAGAAGAGGCGGTGATGGACGTTGATAGACATGATAGACATGCCTTGACATCACAGCTAAACGACCAGGCAAGTATGCCGCGAGAGGCGCCACACACCCTACCATCCCGCTCAAGTACGGCCAGCTTGCAACAACTGGCGGGGCATTTGGCCACACTACTGTATTCAATTCAATGCACCTCATCCACTCTGTAGCCACGCGAGCAAGGCGCGCGCGACGCAATTATCCAATATATTATGCTCCACTCCAAGTGGAATTGAGGCTATTCGGCCAGACTTGGGATGGCGGGCGGGGGAGGTGGAGGGGTGGTGGTGGACGTCAATTGAAATCTACTTACTTGGGTGTGTGAAGTCTGTAGGTTCGTATTGGTGAGACCATTGTGCCATGCGTGCATCGTGAAGCGCTGCTGAGAATTGAGGCTATTCGACCAGACCTCACGATCTTGAATAATGTGGGACCGCGTAATGAAATCGTACCCACTTGGGCGTAGGCGTAGCGTCGTTGTTCGTATTGGTGTTGTGACCGTGCGTGCATCGTGAAGCGCTGCAGCGATCCCCGGTTGTGGTTTTGACATCGTACCAAACCTTGCGACGCTGACATCCGAAGACTCCCCACCGTATCCGCAACTTTCCTGAGAGAACCACGAGCAGCCTAAACAAAGTTCCTGGTGACTGAACTCTGATTAGAGTCCTGGTAATGACGAGTGCAATTGCATGGTAAGTCCTCGTCACTTTTACAGTTACAGATGTCCAAGATGAAGTCACGGATTCGAATGCATCTTTCCATCAGCTATGCATCACTATTCGTCGTCTCGAAGTCTTGCGGTCTTGGCATCTTTTGCATCGAAGTAAAAGTGACGGTGAGGATGATAAGATGACTTCCATGTGATTGTC